GGAACCGAAGTCAAGACACAGTGATCGCAGGATCGTAATCATAAGACATTAGTTGGAATGTCGCAACCAAGCTTTAATAGTTAGAGGTCTAAAATCAATCCACCGTGATCTGAGAACCATAAAATCAATCAGCGGGTATCACGTGAGAAATTGATATCACGATTTAAATTGATTTGAATTTAATTATGGTTAATATGATTTAAATCTTATTCAAATCTATCTTCAAATTTGGTTTTAAACATATTCAAATTAGAAATCAATTTTATAAGGGTGGCATGTAAGTATCAATTTTCTGCACTTCCAAACGCTCGACCTTTTGTATGTTGTAATTAGTATCATCCATAAAATATATACTTTATTCAATACTGCCCAAAGCCCACCCCCTTCTCCTTTCCAGGCTAGTGAGGGAGATCAAAGAATACTTCGAGCAAGAGGCGAATCACCCTAATGAGATTATAACTCATATAGATGCAACACCATACAACAAGGCTTACGAATGGGGCGTAGCACCAAATAGTTCAATAGCTTTTTGGGAGGAATATTTAGACTAAGTTAAATTTACACGCACATTATATATCTATTTAAGACTAAAATCTAAGATCTCTTAGTTAATATCATAAGCTTCCAACCAACATGTTGAATAGCTAAGAATTTGCATGCATGTAGTTCATCTTGATCTGTTAATTTGAAATTTTAGCTAATTAAAATAATTTGAGTTTGAATCTTATACATTTAATGTGATGGGTGTGAGGTTGATTAATTGGTCTAAATGTTTCAAACAAAAAGAAAAAAACTTGCGTGTCTCACAAGAGATTTTCTCCCGTGCATGACACGTCATGAACACAGAGTTCGAGAAATCAAGAGAACCGCAGACGCACGTGACGTCCACGCGAGGCACGTGCACTGCGTCAGTATAGGCTCACTAAAAAAAGTCCCGAGAGTTATAGGAAATGCCCCTAATTCGGCTCCGTAGGATGTGGCTGGATGCGGCGCGTTACCGAGGCCGACGGTGGATGAGATTATGGCATAGGAAATCCTATGCGGTTAAAGGCATAGAAATAAAAGCCTTGGCTCAGCCGCCAGTAGCCAAGACCGCTGGCCGGAGCATGCACTGCAATGTCGGCGCTATCGTGTGCGCCGGTCGGGCCCACTTGTCTTTCCCGCAAGCCAGCTTAGCTGATTAGTCTGCCTAGTAGAAGAACGAAGAAAATAGACCATGTTTTGTGACCAATGCGTCTATTGGTTTGATCACTTTGTAGTTTGTACCTTCTGCCATTAAATATTTTCATAACTTTTTATATACAGATCAAATCTGATCTGATGATCAGGTTACTCGCCCGGTTCGTGTTCCGATCTAATTGGTCCGGTCCAGCAAAAGTGGGACCCACTAACCTGTGTAATTAACTGCAGATCGTGTAGATCAGTCGATTAGTTTTAACTACGGAACAAAAAGCGCGTGAATCCACGAATGCTTCTCGCCAAAAGAGGGGCTTTACAGGATTCTTCTCGGCAGCTGATGGCGATTAATGGAAGCTTTAATTAAATAATAAATCCATGTCATATTTTAAATATGTCATTGGGTTAGACTAATTAAATCATTATAAGAGTTTAAATTAAATTAAGAAAGTAATTATTGAGAATTAATTTTAACTGTTAAATTTAATTTTGATTAAAAATCAAATGATTTAAAATTTAGACATTATTTAGGGCGGCTTTCTTAATGCTTTCTAAAACAGATTTTTAATAAAAAATTTCTAGTTCAAGAAATTTTGTACTAGAAAGCTACTTTAGAAAGTAATAAAAAGCCATCCCAAACGAAGTCTTAATCTTAAAATATTCAACAAGCATTAGATATAACTTGGTTTTGAATATTGAGCTATTTAACTCACACGAAGAACTCATAAATCGTCTGTTAATCTATTTATTTAGCAAAAAGAACTTGCCAAATCACTCATAGTACATGCTCGTTGATGGGAGGATCTCATTAGAAGTCTCCCAAGATAATTGCCTCAATTTAAAACTCAACCTATACTCTTTCGATTAGGAGTCATTTGCAAGCCTAACTCATATACTACATACTTATATTAGCGAGGAATTTTTGATATTTTCTCCCCCTCCCCTCAAAAGAACCTTTTGCCATAATATTATCATCCTAAGCATCGTTGCCCATCCATCAAATTTGAATCCCGCAAGTTCACACTTTGCAGCCTCTTTCGCGATTCGCGCATTCAACATTCAAGATGTCGACACCTCACAGCCGTTTTCTTCCCGGTGGCATTCGACGTTCAAGAGGTCGCTCGGCGCTCGCAGTTCACACTTCGCCCTGCTGACCATTGTCTTCAACCATCAATTAATTTGAAGATAAATATGCAATTTCTATACAAATTTGAAGATAAATATGTAATTGGAAGATAAATGATAAAAATTTCTTTTTATAAATTTGATTGCATTATGTTGGTTGTTTTTTTTATTTAATTTTATTATTATTACTATTTGATGTTATTATTTTATTTTGTTTATTATTATTATTATTATTATTATTGTTGTTGTTGTCTGATTAATTAAATTTTTTTTTCACCCTGAAAAAAAAAGCTAGATCTGCCCCTGGGTTTACCCTTGAGGTGCCCTCGAGGGGAAGCTAATAGTGGACAAGGCTTGTGGTAGCCTAAGTGATGAAATGAGATATGAACGTAAGTAGCCCTAACAAGAAATCTTACAATATAACCAATCTAATGTAAAAATGAAACATACATCTATAGTGAAATAAATTATAATTTTTTTTTTTGTTTTAAAAATGTCGAGACTTACATGATGACTAGCCCAATGATTGATAATTTTTTATATCATGTCAATGTTATTAAAAGTCTATTTTGAGGCTAGGGATTAAACTATAATGTTAATGAGGCCTAGAGGTTAATTAATTATTCTGTGAAAGGATTAATTATTCTGTGCGGATGTCGAATGCAGTTTACAGACCAATAAGAATGCACCACTTCACCCCTGTGCTCGGTACTGCGGCTCAGTACTACACGATACCGCTCGGTAACTCTGACATAGAGCATTCTGGTTGGTCTCTGGGCGACGTTTTGCATCCAGTCTCTGTGAAAGGGTGGCGACTTGATGGCCTTATTGACAATGTGAGTGAATGGGCTAGGGCTTATATTTTGAAGTATATTTCATCATGAGATATATAACTCCAATGATAAAACGGACCAAAGATAGTACTTATGAAGGCAATGCCACAGAATGAGTGTATGACATTGAGTTTAAATTGTTCTTATATTGATGTTAAATTGGGTGATTTTTATGATGTTGCAATTATTGCAGCGAGACGATCATTTTGATAGCATCTTTGTAAATTAGGTGATTTTAACTTTTGTACTAAAAAATTGTTTTAAGAAACATTAAGAAAGACGTCCCAAACTAACGTTTTGTTTGGGACGATTTTCTCACTGCTTCTTAAAGCAACTTTCTAGTAAAACAAATAAAATTTTTATACTCAAAAGCTTCTTTAAGAAGCAATAAAAAAGCCGTCCCAAACGAATTCTAAGTCTTAGAATCAATTGTTAAAGCATGCCAATTTTTCTCAGTACTCTCTAAATTACCTTGATACTTAACTCCTAATTAGAAGTAAAACCTTCTCAGATGATCTACCACTAACTAATAATCCTTCACCACTCTCCTGATGAGAAGGATAGATTTTCATCTTAGCCTACCTTGAATTTTCACGTAAGCAGCTACTAATCAAAGCCCAATTTCGAGTTATAATACTCGACATATCAAGAGTCACCAAGCATGGAAACAACCTTAGCTGCTTTTTACTGAGAATATCAAATTTATATGATTCAATCTTCAATCTACATAGAGTTTTCACTAGATCAAAAAGGAGGAGAAGAATAAGATTTTGTTTGAGACAGTTTTTTTGTTACTTTCTTGTGCTTTCTAGTAAAAAAAAAATCTACTAGAAAGTTGCTTTAGAAAGCAGTAAAAAAACTGTTCCAAATGAAGCCTAAGAAGAAGAAGAAGACGACGACGACATGCATCACAATAGGGGCACATAATGTTGCATGGTCTCTGATGCTATATTGATATACTTATTCACTCTTCTGTTAGTGGTTACTTATGAACATACAGACTTGTGATACAGTTCACCATTTGCTTTATTCTGTTGTGACGGTCTGAGCAACAAAGCAAAGTTGGGCCAAATCATTAAAATTGTTCTATGTGATGATCTTTCAGAGCGTTGGCATACCCAACATATATCTTTATTGGTGAATAATAAGTTCAGTAAAACAAGATTTTTTTTTCTTTTCTCCCCTTAAATTCATGAGGAAATAGTTATAAATGACCTTGTTTTCTTGGGAAAGATGAGTTTTCTTTGGCTTTGTTTGGGACAGCTTTCTTATTATTTTTTAAAGTAATTTTTTATTACAAAATTAATTTTTTTGTAAAAGCTGTTTTAATAAGCAGTAAGGATGTCATCGCAAACGAAGCCTTAGACTAAAAATTATTTGTAAAAAAGGAACTTTATTCCTACGAATATTTCTTTTCAAAACTGCAACAGCTTGAGATATGCCCATGTTTAGTAGGAGAGATTATTATGTGCAGAGATCGGACGCAGAATACCGTCCGGAGATCAACCATAATGCATCACGTTAGCCGTATCGAGCTGCAGTACCGAGCAATAACGAGCCGTGGTATCGAGCGAAGGGGTGACGTGACACATTCTGATTGGTCTCCGGACGACATTGGCATCCGCACATAATAATTAATCGTTTATAGTAGACTGCATAAGCTCTAAAATTGAAACTTTTACATGTTGGGCCTTCTCAAAAAACAAATACTAAGACGATTTAATGTTAAAGTTATGAACTCTTTTCTTGAAATATGTTTTTTTTTCCTCTTTATTGCAAACTGAAATCATTACTATCATTCAAACCTTTTTCATCAATATCTGGTCCTAAGCAAAGTTAAATTTAGCTTAGAATGGCAAGGCTGTATTTTCAGAAGAATTTTTATTTTTTTTACTGTCTGTAACTATTTCAAAACAGTAATGGATGTCTTGATTCTGAAGTAAAGTTTAGCTCATAATATCTTATAATGGGTGAAGCCTTCTCTGTTTGTGAAGAATGTTTAAGGTAATTAATTATCTTCTCTAATCTAAAAGCACACTAAATGCTTAAGGTAATTATCTATTCACACTCCATGTTAACTACCATTGCTCCTGTGCCCTTCCTGCTATAATTTGTTGCAGAATTTCTGTAAAGCAAAACATCACTATGCCTTCCACACTTGCTTGACCTCATCTTGTGTCTCTGTCCCTTATGATAATTTCCATTACCACTCCCATTGCAACCTTTCTTCTCCTCCTCCTCCTCCTCTTCTCCAACAACCTCTGTTTCTACTGAGAACACAAAGGTTCCAATCATTCCATCATCAAAGTCCAGGAGAGGCTCCAGAATCTCAACAATGGTGGACATCTGAGGCCTTGATTTCGGGGTATGGTTCAAGCACTGATAGGCTACTGTTGCTGCCTTCTGAACAGCTTTGTGAGAGTACTGTTGATCGAGGCTGGTGTCCATGATTCTCATTAGCTTTCTAGTGTCGTTAAGGCAAGGCCGAGCCCATTCTACAAGGTTCTGTTCTCTGCTTGGGCGAGTCTTGTCTACCGATCTTCTTCCTGTTAGAAGCTCAAGCAATACAACTCCATAGCTGTAGACGTCACTTTTTGTTGTGAGATGGCCTGGAAAATAAATTAAGATGATGTCATTGGAAGTAACGCAAAAATTCGACCCGGCTCGGAAATTTCTGGGTTAGACCGGATCCATTTTCAAAACGGGTCGGGTTTAGGTTCCCGGATTCGACCCGTTTGAAAATGGGTCAGGTTCGGGTTGACTCGATGGGTTGCCGGGTCAACCCGGAAACCTGTTTGAAATGACTACCCGGCTGCCCGTGGACCTACCCGAGCCTGCCCATGGCTACCCGCGAGCCCACCAAATCTGCCCGCGCTTGCCATCAGTCACCCGAGAACCTGAGGTAGCCCACGCACCCGCCAGCACGTGTCCATGCCCGCACACCCGCCCGCGCAGCCGCGTCAGCCCGCTCTAGTCTGCGTCCATGCCAGCCCGCAGCCTGCCGTCCCGCCTGCCAGCTGCCCGCCTTCTCGTGTCGGTCGGGTCAACGGGTTGCGTCCGGGTTCGATTTTCTGACCAGTTTACATACCCGGGTCGGGTTAGGATCGACCCATTTGAACCCGGATCAATTTTGGGTTCAATCCGAACCCGATATGAAACCCAATTTTGACACCCCTAATTTGAAGTATATTCCTAAATAATTAACCAAATCTGTCCCAAAGTACTACTTGATTCTTACCTGTCATGATGTACTCTGGTGCAGCGTAGCCTTCAGTACCCATAACTCTGGTAGAGACATGGGTGTTGTCTCCTTCAGGGCCATCCTTTGCAAGGCCGAAGTCTGAAAGCTTTGGTGTGAAGTCCTGATAAACCAGACAAGAATTGCTCACTAAAGTAATTGGAGGGTCCATTCAGACAAGAAAATGGTCTGAAGAAGCAGATTCATACAGGTTATTCTCAATTGAAAGAATCAAGAAAGAAAAAGTTGAAGATATGGATACAATTAAATAAGAAAGATTAAGAAAAGAAATAGGAAAAGTAAGCCATAGGTTTGAACATAAAGATTGTCCCTTGAAAGAGTTTTTAAGTGTCACATCCAATTAAGAATAAAAAATTCAACTAAACAATGTAAAATGATCTCCACTTCAACAATAAGAATTAAATTCAAGTCATTTAATTGTTTTCCCTCTTAAATGAACCATTGGTAGCTAGTGGTTGATTATTTTTTTCTTGTGAGCATGAAAGTTTTGGTGGACCTACTAGATAATTCCCTTATTTATTGATGAACAAAACAACAACTTCTTAATAAAACGGTAATTACAGGCAGAATTCTATCTAAATGCTAATAAACTTGTTGGCATAGACTAAAATAACTCTAACAAAAAATTTAGAAAAAGCTTGAATTTAAAATGAAATAAATGCTAATAAACTTTCTTACTGTTTTTACAACAGCTTTTTAGTATAAAATTTTTATTTGTTGTAATAAAAAACTGTTTTAAGGAGCAGTAAGAAAACCGTCACAAACAAAATCTAAGTCTTTTTAAGTTCACCTCCATCTTTTTTAACATAGGCCGGATCTAATACATCTATTGTCCTTATAGGATCATCAGAAGGCTGAAATTTTATATGACCAAATCATCTAAGGCGAGTCTATCTAATCTTATTTGCCACTAGAGCTACTCCAACCTTTTCACTTATATACTTGTCTCACATTTTGTCTCTAAGTGTAAAGTTACTCATGCACCTGAGTATCCTCATCTCCGCAACACTTAATTTTTTGCTTCTTTTTAATGTCCAACATCCTGTGCCATAAAGCATTGCAAGTCTCACCACCATCTTTATAAAATTTTCCCTCAAGTTTGAGGGATGCTTTTCTATCACACAATACGCCCGATGCATTCCTCTACTTCAACCATCCAACTTGAATTCTATTAATAATATCCTCGTCTATTTTACCAGCACTTTGAACAATTGATACAAGATATCTAAAACATACACTCTTTGTAATGACTTGATCACTGAATGTCACAATCCCACCATTAGATTTATTACTACTAAAATCATACTCAAGTTATTTGATCTTAGATTTATTCAAACAAAAATCTTACTCTAATACCCTCTCTAGCCTTATCAACAAGGAGAATATCATCATCAAGAAGAATATACAAAGATACATCCTCTTGCAAATGTCTAATAAGAACATCCATGACTAGAGCAAAAAGATATCTACTGAATGCTAATCTTTGATGTTTTTCAACTAAAGTAGGAAAATACTTATGAGTGATAGCTATAAAAAAACTAAAATAAACTTTGTAATTTTTGTTCTACCTTCTCAAAAATAACTCTATTAAAACACATTAAAAAAATATATTAAACTTTTTCATTCAAATAAATATTAATTTTGATTGGTCATTTTTCCTATCTAAAAAACAGTAAAAAAGCTGATTCAAATGATTGCTGAAGAAAATTCTGAAAGCGATTTATAAAATAAAACTGTGACTAAACATACTAGTAAAATCAAACTATGCTAAAAATACGACAATACTTATCAAATCCCAATTGAACTCCATTAGGCTTTTCAGAGGAGTTACCGAATCCAACAATATGTTAGATGCTTTGAAATCCCTGTATATCACTGGTTTCTCAGTTTCATGGAGGAAGGCCAGTCCTTTGGCAGCTCCCACTGCAATCTTCAACCTTGTCAGCCATGGCAAGGAGGTGAAGTGTCCTGCAATCAGTACAAAAGTTTTAACTTTCATATCAGCAAACAAATAGTATAGGATTTTCATTCAAATCACCATTAGATTTAGACTTAGTTTGGACGGCTTTTTTATTGCTTCTTAAAACTTTTTAGTACAAATTTTTTATTTTTTCTACTAAAAAGTTGTTTTAAGAAGCAATAAAAAAGCCGTCTCAAACGAAATCTTAGTTGGAATATGAAATAGATCACATCACATTCTTCTTCTTTTATGTTATAGTGGTTTTGGTATGAAGGCAGAATCTTCCTTCAGGACTTCCAAAAAAAAAAAGTAATTGAAAAATTGGTGTGGATAATCAAAACCGAAGGAGAAAATTTCTTCGGTTTTTTCCATTAATGGATCCAAATTGAAGTCAAAAGATGAAAAAGAACAGAAGATCATATTTCAGAAGCCCCTTCTATCATATAACTACATATTAATCATTTAGAAGATCAAACTTCTTACAGAGGAGAAAAATATACGTACTCTTAAACAAATGGTTCTCCAAGCTTCCTTTTGCCATGTACTCATAAACCAGCAGCCTGTGTTCATTCTCATAACAGTAACCAATTAGCTTCACAAGATGTGGATTACTCAATTGCCCAAGAAAGATCACTTCAGCCTACAGAAACAGAATACAAATGCTTGTAAACTGAAACCAAAGGCATGGAAGTTCTGCGAGCAGGAGACTCACCAGCCACTCCCTGTGGCCCTGCACGCCGTCGAGATCAAGCAACTTCACGGCGACAGTCTGAGCTTCCATTCCAGGCCTCACCTTTTCGTCGATGAACCCTTTATACACAGGCCCAAAGCCGCCTTCTCCAAGGAAATTGCTGTTCGAGAATCCTCCTGTCACCATTTGAAGCTCTGCAAGGGAGAAGACGTAAAGGTTTGAGCCTGCAAGAGAGACGGTGAGATCACTGGGTGAAAGCGGGCCCGGCGAGTGGCTTATTTCTGAGAACGAAAGCCGTTGAAGAGATCTTTGCTTTGAGGCAAGCTTTCCTTGTTGGTCATTACTGGAGCTCCCACAACAGCCCCTGAGAAGAGATTTCCATGACTTCCCTGACATGGCTGAGAGTTTGGTGTGAGAGCTATGAAGGTTTCAGACTTTCAGTAACTATTCCCATGCGTAGCTTAGATGAAAAAGCAAGAAGAGAAACTACTAAATAAATGATTATTCACAGGGGAGTAAAGGAAGGAGAACTGGAGAAGGTTTGGAAGAGTTCAAACAAGGATGGGAGGAGATGGAAATTATTTTAGAGCTCAACTACTACTCTACCAAATATAAAAGAGATAGGGTTGCTTTTTTTACTTCAGTAGAGACTAGTTAAGCCTGTTAAGAAAATGACTATGCTGACATTTGCCTTTTAGCTATGGAAAGAGAGGATTTGAATGAAGAGTTGGAAGATTTTGTTTGCATGGGGCCACCTAACATAGAGGATCTGGAGCTTCTTTCTTTTTGGATTTATTCTCTATGAAAGCTTTCAACAAAGAAATGTAATGAAATGAAGAAAACCTTTGTTCTGTACTTTAGGTGGAAGCAATCATATAATATTTTATGCAGTTTGGAGAGAATTGATTGGGGTTAATTAGGCTTAAATATTGCATTTGTTGGCATAATTCTTTCCTTCTGAAGCATATGGTGATAGTATGTCTTAAATGATTCAGTTTTCTTGCTTGGTTATCGATGAAAACTTACAACTACTCATTTAGATGAGATGCAATGATAAAAGTATTTGGGGCACACTTTATATGCCTATATTTGTTTGGATTGGGATGATCAATTCATCATAAGAGTTTGATATGATTGAGAACCTGCTTGATCGTGCACAAATCTTGAGGCATATTCAAGTTGAAAATTTTTAAAAATAAAATTCAGGACCAGCTAAACTCCAATTTCAACAAATTGATAGTAAAACTGACCTTCTCGAAGAGGCGAATCCAACTGCACTGAAATCGGTCCAATCCGAGCCCAAAAGAGTTTGAAGTGTATTTGGAAGGTTCAAATCATTATTTGGAATACAAAATGATATCCAAATATGGCATGCTTATAGTCGAATCCAGCAACTCGGCGAGACAAATCCAACGAGCCCAAGATCAATGAATTCCGACATCATTAAGGAACTTAAGCACTTCAAAAATGCACTATGATTGGGGGGATCAATATGGGACATCTGATGGAGCACTCCGAACCTATCCTGAATCTTCTCTATATTTACAGAACATGCCACTCTCAAAAATCTATAAGTAGACCACACTCTTTACATGATAGGGGATATTTGGCTACATATTGGAGAGATCTCTAAAACATCAAGAGCTCTAGCACCACCGTCGATCGCCGGACCATTGTCGGACCATCGCTCAGCCGTCGCCCGCCGCTAGACATCCACTTGATCACCGTCGCAGTTTTTCCCAACCACCGTCAAACTTTCTCCCAACTCTCCAAAAATCTGTAAGTAGACCACACTCTTTACTCTAGCACCACCGTCGATCGCCGGACCATTGTCGGACCATCGCTCAGCCGTCGCCCGCCGCTAGACATCCACTTGATCACCGTCGTAGTTTTTCCCAACCACCATCAAACTTTCTCCCAACTTTCCAAACTATTGTAATATCACTGCCTCTAAGTCAAGCGATGAGTCAAATTTTGTAACTCAGTTGAATCTAGTGGAATCTTTTCACCTGGGCGAGTCCCATGATTTTTTCCTCTTTGGGCTTTCCATGGTTTTTTTTTTTTTTTTTTTTTGCCCTTTCTTCAAAAACCTATTTGTGTGCTAGATATCCGTGTATGGCTAAGACAAAAAATTCACTCAATCTATCGCCGTGAATATTCTAACCCGCAATAAGTCCAATCCAAAAGTTGTCTAAATCATTGAATCGCCTATACCCAAATGACACGAGTTCCCACAAGCTAGGCCTTTCTCAACCTCAAGAATCAAACAGCTAAATTTGCTTAAGAATCAAAAAGCTAAACTTGCTTAAGGATTCATAATGTCCACCAACTGTAAATCATGCCCGCCCAAGAAACTTAGTTGCTTTCCTAAGTACTCACCAATCGACAAAGAGCTCTCACTAGAAGGACGAGCCTAAGAATTGACTATCACTAATTGGGCTTAAATATTGCATTTGTTGTCATAATTCATTCATCCTAAAGTATAGGATTCTAATATGTCTTGAATGTTTCACTTTGCATGCTTAGATATTGGTGAAAGCTTAGAACTATTTATTTAGATGAGATCCCTCATAATATATTGCAATGATAAAATATTTGGGGCACACTTCCAATATTTATCTAGTTTGGGTTGATTATTTATCATTAAAGCTTGAATTGGATTCAACTAGTTGTTGATTGAGAACAAGCTTGAGTAACTCACCAAGCTAATAGTTGTCTAAAACATTGAATTGCCCATAGCCAAATGACACAAGTCTCCCACAAGCTAAACCTTACTCAACCTTAATAATCGAGCTATTGAACCCGCGTAAAGACTCATAAAGTCTCTCATTTGGCAATCTTTATCGCCAAAAAAACTTTGTCATTTTTTCTAAGTACTCACTAGTCAACTGGGAGCTCTCTCTAGAAGGACACATCATATCCCCTAATATATGGTGTATATGATCTTTATGATGAAGGTCGTAGCTTGATTGATGTACTTTTAGGATGATGGTAGAAGGGTTATTTGTGTGATGGTAAAACATATATTTAGGATTCGATATAATTGATGCTAAAATTTCTAAGCTATAAAATGACAAGTTTTTCCTTTAAGAAAATGAGGAGGTACTCCAGATCAACTGTTTGAAATATTAGGGAACTAACAATCATATATTCATGAATTATGGATAAGTAGTTAAGAGTTATGGTATTTTAGGGTTTACTCACAATAGGAAATTGTCTCACAACATTGCATTGTTGCTAGTTTATATTAACCTTATTGGAGAGTTGAGCCGTTGGGAGGTTAGGAGAGATGTAGAAGAATATTTTAGAGAGTTTTGAAAGGAATAATGGATGTATTTTGGTGTTAAAGGAAGCTAGGCTTAATGCTATTTAAGGATATAAGAATTTGTTGGGAAAGTTGAGGAATGAGGGTGAGAAAAGTTAACAAAGAACTCATCAAAATCCTTGGGGATCAGCCATCAAGCTTCACCACAGAGTAGAGCATCTACTAACCCTTTTCATATGAAATTCTTACAATAAAAAATAAGTTTTATTCAATGAATCAAAAAGTACAAAACAATGTCCTATTTATAAGCCTTTTTTTTTCAAACTTAGACAACTTTAAAAAATCTCAGGAGCCAATAAAATGTTATTATATCGATTTATGATATCCTCATTAAAAAAAAAAAGAAAATAAGTGAAATAAAATAAAATTTAAAAATTTCAAAAATATAACAATTTAGATTGACCTTATATTAAGCTTCCTTTATCAATAGCTTTTCCATTAGTAGTAAGAATTTGCTATTTCCTGCACTCTCATCACGTTGATTTCTCCTTCAAAAAATAACTTCTTCTGTTTTATTTTCTCTACTAATTTTTGTTCATTCACTTTAGGGCTGGACAACTTTGAGGAACTTACCACGACCTTTAATTAAATTCACATCAAGCTCCTTTGTCTCCTTTGGGAGGTTGGAGATCTCTACATCAAAAGTGGGAGAGATTATTTTCGGCGGATGCCGAACGTAGTTCATTATTCTGAGATCGACCAACCAGAATGCGTCACGTCAGTAGTACCGAGCTAGGTAATGAGCAGCACCGAGCCACGGTACCGAGCAGTACCGAGCCGGGTACCGAGTAGGGGGCAACATGGCACATTCTGGTTGGTCTCTGAACGACGTTCGACATCCGGACATAATAATTTGCCCAAAAGTGAAGCCAAGAATGATAAGCTGTCCATTTGGACATACCTCTAAAGTTGCTTCAACTCATGTCTTTGCCATTGGAGAACCCTCTAACTCTTTTAAAAATTATCGTTGAAATAATTTAAACATATAATTATTGAATATATATACTGTCTGTGTACGAGTTTTCTTTATTTTTATTCACATATTTATATTATTGTATTATTATTATGTCTTTTAAATAATATTTAAATAAATTTCATATTTATTGCATTATCTTGTTTATTTAAATATTATTTAATAATTGAATCATGATCCTCTCTTTCTAATTCCATGTATCGCCCAATTTTCACAACCTTGAGGTTATGTCTAACTAAGACTTCATTTAGGACGACTTTCTTAGAGTTTTTTAAAGCAGCTTTTAATCACAAAAATTTAATGAACTGAAAATTTTTATACTAAAAATTTGATTTAAAAGTAATAAAAAAGCCGTCTCAAACGAAACATAAATAAGTATAAAATATTACTAACAAATTTAGAGCTTCAATAATTAATAACATCATTTGAAGTTCGTGAACAAGCTCGATTCGTGTTCGATTTTGAACTCGTGAATAAGCTTGATAAAAACAATTAATATTTGATTATAGAATTAATAAATATAAATAATATAAATAGAGCTCGACATTAAGTTCGTGAACATGCTCGATGTAATCGTTTGTTAGGAAGCTCGATAAAGCTCGTTTGTTAAGTTAAAGAACATCTAAAAGTGGAGCTCGTTTATAACTCGTTCATATTTGTTTGTTTAAAGCTCGATAAGCACTAAACGAATGAACATGAACTAAATATGAACCAAACATGAACACTCATTAATTTAAATGAATTAAACATGAACACAAACAATAAAACTCGAACAAACATGAACCAAACTTGAAAAACCTGATATTAAATGAACACAAACATGAACACTCACATTCTCGACTTGGCTCGGTTCATTTGCAGCCCTATAATAATGCGTGATTAAGTAAGAGACATCTCAATCAATTTCATCAATAAGTGCTCCTCTGGAACTTCTCCTTCAGAGATACAAATTTCTATCTGATTATATTAAATCAAATTGATTGTGATGTTGATATGACTGAATTTCTGATTTTAATTTAGTGAAAATAAAATTTAAAATCAATTATGAAATTAATATTTTAAATGAAGGAGAGAAAAGGATTATCCTAAATTTAAATTATTATTATTTAAATAGTATACATAATTATAAGAAAATTTAAAAGTAGAGAATTTTTTTTGTTATACCTATATTTAAGGAGTTTTTATTTTATTTTTTAATTTAGAGGATAATAGTCATCCCAATACCTCCTAAATATGATCACTACTCAAAGTCTTTCTATTTATTTTAAAACGATTTTAATATAAAATTTTATTAATTAGTTCTATATTATATTCATCTCAAATAAAAAAGAATCAATTAAGAAATTATACTTAGTAATTTGAATTTATGTGTGCTTATTTAAAAAAAAAAATTAAAAAATTATAGACGAAGATATCTAAAAATAAATTTGTATCTAAGATCATCTAGAAGATAATGAATTTTCAAATATTTATTCTTTATATTCACATATGTTATGTTATAAATGTTGGAATAAATTCTGATTTGTAAAAACTGTGTTGTGAGTGCTCTCTTATGTCATATAGCTTAGGGTGCCAAAATCAGTCAATGGGCTGGGTTTGGGTTCGACCCGAAATTGACCCATCCTGTTTAATAAATGAGTAAAAAATGGGGAACCGAACCTAACACGCTAGCAACTTGAATGACCCAAACACAACCTAATAACTCATTTTGATTAAATTTTTTTTACAAGTTTTTAATAATGTATTTTAGATTAATTATTAAAAAAATAAGACCAGCATACAAACAAATAAAAAATTAAGAAAAAATAATTTAAATAGGTCATTTTAGGTCAAAATCGTGTTGGCATGTCAACCCGAACTTAACTAGTTTAATAAACGAGTCGGAATTCCATACCTGAGCCAAGATTTGTTGAATTTGATTGGCGGGTCGAGCCATTTTTTGACACCCCTAATATAGATATTGGATTGCTCTACATTGTGATACAATTATTAATTCATACATTATTATATCTATCGTATAATATGTCATGTTATAGTTATTATAATCTCTCTTTCTATTCTGTTCTAGTTATTGTATTTCAGCTGGTGTGATTTGTGCTAAACTACAACAGGGTCAACTTTAGAGGCGGACCCGATTTTCAAAATGGGTCAAATTTTTGAACATGTGAATCTGACCCATCTGACAAACAGGTTGACCCAAACCTAAAATTTCTCATATTGGGTCCAAGTCAGATTTCGGGTTGAGTAAATTATTGACACCCGTAATTGTGATTTCATTTTACTCTAGTTTGAACTCAATCTACTATATCTACCAGAGGTAAAACCCTATTCGAATAATATTTAAATAAGGTTAGAATAAGGTATATATAATATAATCAAATTATTAGAAATTTAATAAATTATTAAAAATAAAAGTAGACTATGTACATTGTGCTTTTTTTGTAGATATATTATTTCAGGCAAAAAAAAAAGTTGTTGGAGATCTTTAAAAAACCCTAACAAAATCCTATAAAAAATGCTTTCAAATGGCAAAATGTTTGTCGGTAATATATTTTCTAGCAGATAATCTATAGGAAGTTTTTATTTTTTTATTTTATTTTATTTTTTTATTTTTTTTTTTGTGCTAAACCTAACAGCATCTACCATGTGGGTTCAATAATCCACATAATTTCACACAATTTTTTGAATTCACATCCGCACATGCTACATTAACAATTCAATAAACATGCAATTGATATATTATAAAACATGCATTTAAAAAAATATGTAAGTCCATTAATTACAATATTTATTTTTTATTTACATCTATACACACTCCCTTTTTCCTTTTACACACATGCGCACACACGCAAACACAAACCCACTCCTTACATTCTTCCTCTTCACCTCATTATTATTTGTTGCCTCATTCATTGCCACAATTACATCAATGTTTGGTTGCATTTTAGCATTTATGTTGTATTTCAACTCTGAACGACATGCATTTAACTATGATATGTATACAGATTCCTTGAACCGAGATAAATATAATTGTCCTTAACAGATGGGAATATAAATGAAAGAATTTATTTACCTTTTATATATATTCACATTGTTACTGATCACTGCTCTAGTTATACTGATGTTTATTGATCATATAATATGTTACTATTTCATTGATTATTACATGTTTTACAGTTATATGTTCATACTGATAGTGATTGAATGATTACATGCATATTGTTCATATTGTTGTACATTGATTTCAGTTGTAGGTTTTGATATTCTATTTAATTAGTTGTCAGCTCACTATGTGATTTTACATATTTTTTCCAGCGGAGTGAGGATAGATCTGAGATTCAAGTTTTATTTTGTTTATGCATTTCTTTTAGTTTATAATGCTCTGAAATAATTTTTTTGTTAAAAAAATCTTAAATTTATATTTTTTTTAAATAGAAAGTTGCTTTAAAATGTAACAAAAAGTTGTCCCAAACTTAGCCTAAATCAAGCCTTTGAAATTTCAAATCAAAGGAATCAATACTCTTTGGGTGATAATATATATATTATAAATAAAATTACATTTAAATGTCGCTTGCATAATCGTATTTTTTATTTCCTTATTTTTAGTAATTTTAACGGTAAATTAATAGGCCTGAGTGGTAGTTGCTTAGTGGAAATCATGCTGGCTTTCTTCAATAATTCTGTATTAGTTACCTATTTTTCCACGAGTTCCACAAGTAAGATGAACAACCTCGAGCAACTTATAATTTGTATAATTATTTATTACTTTTTTTTTTCTGTAAATTTGACTTTTATATATATTTGTTTTCATATAAATTAAAAGTAATGGTGATTGAGATGTGAAAGTCAAATAAATCTAGAAGATTTTGATATATTTCCTAAACGACATTTAGTTGATTTATTAGTTAAGGGTTATTGTATTAGAATGGGATGCTTTCATCTATAGCTATTTGCTTAGGCTACAAGTCATTTGTGGCATAAAGATCAAGAGGTGCTAAAATGAGAGAAATTTTCTTAGTTTATAACATTGTATTAAATGAATATTGTTATCATGACATGTATGTGTGTCATATTGATTCATTTTAAAGAATGATTTAATTTTTATTAATAAATATAAATTTATTTGAATTTCAATTTAACCATGACCATCACCAACAAATGCTCATTGCCGTTAATGGACATCTACCAAGAACCCCAAACTTGCTATATTTTTATGTTTATCGCCACAAAATATATGTTTAGGATAAGTGCGGCCTTTATCTAATACACATTATCACTCGACATCCATCATCAAGTTACATTTATCATCATCATACTGCTCAGTACTGTGAATACCGAACGTAAGCTGTGTCCAGTGACCTGACCTAATAATTTCCCCACATGATGCCCACCTTTAGTTGAATCATTTTATGTCTAGCACTTAACACTCAATGTTCATCATTATCTGGCATTCATCATTGATTGACAATTCAACATCCATTATTACATGATGTATCACCGACTTCAAAGTGATTGACCTAGGCTTTGTTTGGGAATGCTTTCTTTCTAATACAAAAATTAAAATTTTTGAACAAAAAAACTGCTTTAAGAAGCAGAAGGAAAGCCTTCCCAAACGAAGCCTTATTCAACCAACTTCAATGACCTCAATGATCTTCTAGCATAGACTTATCTATCACCTCAATCTTATCTTCACCTCTTAGGGCATCTCCAACAGAGAACTCCATTTTCATGGCAAAATACAACAAAACTTCAAAATGCAGTGGTGCTGCTCCAATCGAACTGCATTTTAATTACTTCTGCTTAGGTAATGATCCTTCTCCCTTTCGCGCATTTTTTTCGGTTGAAAGAGCAAAATAGCATAGATGAACAATGCAACTCCATTTTCACACTGTTCACCCGCAAGTAAATGACAAAAAATTTGGCGTTCAGCTGGAGCAACCGAACGACGCCAAACACACATTTGGCGTCGATTGGAGATGCTCTTAGAGATGAACCAATATAATCACTCCATCTAACTTATGAACTACAACACGAACATCATCTCAAATTATTTTATCACTAACATATTATTTGAATTTAGTGACGAGAGATTGATGATAACTTCTATCGAATACGAGTAAAGCTAAAATATATTAATCTTCATCAACCATTTTATTTATTTATTTATTTTTTGATTGCGTCCATTTCCTTCCAACAGAAGTAAGCAGCCATTCACCGCATGGAGGAAAGTCTACATCAAGGAGTAGGTAAAAGATTTGGACCGTCAAAATTTGGATTAGTCTCACATCAACCCTTTATAACAGCCATTAGCAAGCCATAGACTTTTGAGCTACTTTGCTTACATCTACTACCAATTTACTACTTCAAAGAAAGGTCATATACAGCTTATGAATAATTAGAAAATGATTGAGAAGGAAAAACTATTTTGTTTGTGGTGCATCTTTACCTAAGTTTTTGGCTTCTGCTTGTTTGATTACTGATGGCATTGATATAAGTTGACTGAATAATGGAAATGAATAATATATGATTTTTATAAATTATAATATAATAATATAATTTTAGTTAAATAAATGAAAATATGGGATTAGCAAAAAATACTTTCTTTGAAGCTACTTGAATCATCATGATGCCATATAAAAGAAATATTTTCAACTTCCATGTAGCCTGTCATCATGGTGCTGTCAAAAAAGAGAAAAATTATTCTGTGCGGACGTCGAACGCCATCCGGAGACCAATCAGAATGTGCCACGTTACCCCTGCTTGGTACCGTGGCTCGGTACTGCGGCTCGATACCACTAAGATGGCTGCACTTGATTCGTCTCCGAATATAGAGCTGCATCAGACATCCGCATAGAATAATTTCTCCAAGAAAGAAGCGAAAATTGTAAAAGAAAAAAAAAGTTCAGATATACACTCCAAATTTCTAAGAAAACTCTGAATTTTCTGAGAACGCATCAAAACATACAAAGAGAAAAAAATGGGCTGAAATGCTGATCAAATTTTTAATTATAATAGCTCAGGATATTATTTTTGTATATATTATATGCATCTCATAATAAATTTAATACTTCTAAAAATTCACTCTGACACAAATTTGTTCCATAAAAAACAGACTCAGCTGCTCATGCTGAGCTCAAAGGGAAATTATTGAGTTTGGTCATCGGACACAACTTATCGTTCGGAGATCAATCAAGTGCAACCACGTATCCAATATCGAGCAATACCGAGCTCGGTAATGAACAATACCGATCTCAGTACCAAGTAGGGGGTGATGTGGCGCATTTTCATTGGGCTCCGCACGGCGTCCTGTGACCGAACCCAATAATTTCCTGAGCTCAACACCTCTGACGCTTAGCAGCTGGCGCAGCAGCAGAGGAGGCAAGAGCAAATGACACCTTTTGAGGAATTGCTTGCATTTGCTGCTGCTCAGCATCTGTCCTCTGTTCAACAGAAGAGTTAGGGTTAGAGTTAGTGTTAGGGTTGGGATTGGGCTTCGTACCACCATCTTCATCCTCCTCAGTCTCCTCAATTTGTGCGAGATGTTTCTTAGGTATCAAGAGCTGATAGTTAGGGCTGACGAGTGTGTCCTGCTCAGGTGGCAGTGGGATAGAACCAGGTGGTGCGATTGTCTTGGGCAATGGCGTCTTGTTTCTGGTACGAGCAAGCTCAAGAAGAACCTGAAGAAGGGTTTACTCACTACCAAGGTTTAAAAAATGTTGAAGAATGGAAAAATACATTTGGAATGGAGCACAATGAATCAATAAACTTTTAAACAAAGAAATCTTTGATGAATTTGATAGGAAACACTTGTAGATCTCACGTATTTTCTATTAATTTTCGAAAAACAGCGAGATTTCTCCACAAAAATTCACACAAAATCATGAAAACAGTGGATAATTTGTATTATTTGATGAAAAGAAAATAGCAAGATACAATTGATCCTCTATTTGAGAGGAGGATCGATCTCACCCAAATCTCTAGACGCCGCTAGAGCCCAAAAAAAAACCTAAATCTAAGAGATTTTAAATTTCAGCCAAATTCAAGATGCCCTAACCTTAGGAAAACAAACTATTTAATGCCTACAATTCAAAAGGAATTCTCTAAACAACCCTACTTTAAAATTTCCCTTCAAACTCCCTTAAAAAATCTTCCTAACCAGCTCACATGTGACTGGACGGTCGGCTCCTGCGTACAGGAGGCGGAACTCTCCACCAGTTTTGCATAAGTCGGTCTCGTCGGACCAGTCCAATGGACCAATCTAACAGAATTGCTAGCAATAAAATATGATAAGAGTAACCAGTAAATTACCCAAAAAAAAAAAAAAGAGGCGGTAAAAAAAAAAAAAAAAATTAGGCGATAAGGCTCATTCCAAGAATTGGGAGTAATGTTTCAAGTTGATCTGGAAAGCTTTGGCACTACAAATTAAGCTGTTTAGTAAGCAGCCTAAGAATGGATTTAAGATAAATCTAGCCAAATGATCATTTTTTTTTTTTTTGAAGCTGTTGAATTGGGATTTAAGCTAAGGTCAAGATTAACTAAATCCAGCCGTAAATCATTAATTTAGTAAGCATGTAAACAACGGTATGTAAACATTTGAGGATGCAGGATTAAGCAAATATTCTTATATCCAAAACTCTTCAGGATTTAACTTGATCAAAATAAGAATAATGCTCCGAGTAGAAGTAGTTTAACATCGATAAAAATTATTTAAAATAATTTGTGAAATATAGGTTTAACATCTTATACAACATTCAGCAAAAAGCTGAAAACCAATGAAAAATGAGTTGTCGACCCCCAATAATTGTGATGCATTCGTTAATGATGATGAACTTGAATTAAAGATATATAAAAAAAGATATTTTCAGAATTTAAACCTCAAAATTTATTAAATTCAGACTTCATTGATTTACATGATGGAAAATATCTATTTTCACTTGCATTGGCACTTTAGCATCCATTTTAACGGATCTGGAAAAACACTCTGTTATGTTGTCAAGTCACTTTACGGCGCTACTAATGTAAAGCATTATGAAGTAAAGCACTACTTGTATTATTGATAAAGGAGTTACATCGAACACCTGTTTTCCGTCTAGGTAACATCTATGACGAATAAAATACCACCAAGACATCAAGATGAGCTATTGATATAGTTTACTCCTAACAATAAAATCGATTGATTTGAATGAAAAAAGCAGAAGAAAAAAAATTAAGCATACTCTGATTATAAGCAACCTGAATTAGGATATCTAACTAAAGGATAGTTGTCATTGTCATAAACAGCTGAAAGTATCTATAACTTCAGCAATACTGTACAAAGGTGACTAGGTGAGCATGGAAAAGGTTCAAATTGGCAGAAATTTATCAGTAGATAAGCTTACCTAATCAAACGGGATATAGATTAAAGATTCATGTAGCTTAATATAGAAATTTTCTTGAAAAACAGCCATAGTAAACAAATTTTTTTTTTTAGTTTTGTGCCATCACTCTCTAGACATTTCTCTTCAAGCAAAAACAAAGGTGGTATTAGGGGTGTCAATTATTGATCCGGCCCGAAAAATTCGGGTTTGGGCCGACCTGTTTAACAAACGGGTCAGGTTCGGGTTTCAATTTTTGACCCGTTTGAAAAATTGAGTCGGATCCGAGTCAACCTGTAACCTAAATTTGACTCGTCCACATCCGACCAAGCCAGTCGCCCAACTCACCCCTGCACAGGTGCCTCACCCCGGACTCGCTCACCCCTGCTGTCGTGCTCGCAGCGCTTGCACCCGCATCCACGCAAAGCCGTAGACAACACACTCGTCTGTCCCACCTTCACTCGCAGTCCCTCCCTCGCCCGCAGTCGCGCTTGACGCTCTCCCACACGACCCACGCTCGACCCTCACATGGTCCCTCCCTCACCTACAATCCCACATGCGCTCATGTTTGACTCGCGCAGGGCGGGTTTGGTCAACCCGATAACATGGTGGGTCATGCTCGGGTTTGAATTTCTGACCCGTTTTATCTAATCACGTCAGGTTCAGATCAAATCAATGGAAAGCAGGTTAGTTTCGAGTTTAACCTGAACCCAATCCGAAAACTAATTTTAACACCCCTAGGTGGTACAAAGTGTATGCATGCGTACCATCTATTTATGAAAATGTTAATATTAAAGTCGACTGCAATTATCCAACTCAAAATGGTGCCTAAACACAGATTTGGCGAAAACAACACATACAGTTGAAGCATATAGCACATTTCAAACACATTCTTCAGCACGATTATGTAGAGCTAACTTTAAATAAGTTAAAAAAACTAATTAATTAACATACGCTGATAAGACAAAGGCAACTCTTTTATAACTTCATGCGATTGCTCGTCTTCCAATAAAACCACGAGAACAAAGAGGAGACAATCATCTCCACCAATTATGTCACAACTTGGCTCAACCTTCACAAAATCCTCAGCTCCTTTCATGGAACCTACTAGAAGCTTTTTACAAAAGCGGGTTTATTTCTCCTCCTTGGAGATGCTTTAACCCATCCCTTCTTCATATAAATCCTCCTTCATCCCTAATGTTTATCTGTTGTCTTCCACAACTAATTAATTAACTCTGATTTCTCATTCCCTAATACCAATATCTGGTAGCACCATATCGACAGTCTTTGTAATGCTTGTATGGGAGATTTGTTGGTTTATCCAGTCGATCCGGCCTCGGATCCTTCACCAATAACTTACGTGGCTGACAAAACATGTGCTCAAGTAAATTGTGGCAAGGATCATTCACCTCAAAACCATCTACACCAATAAGGCTACGCCGAATCCTTCTTCAAAGCACATGCTAATGACACCAATCATACTTCATCTATTGGTGCTATAGTCCACATCATCAAGATGATTTTGTCATTTAAAATTTCAAAATCAGAGATCAACTTGATTTCAGACTGCTTGAATCTTGCCCTTGTTGGGAATTTCTCATTTGGTATACATAGCATGAAATGCATTCACAAACTTTTTAATGGTTTAAAAATACAAGACTCCATCTCTGTTTGTCTTATTAATGCTAGACACATTTCAATCAGGGTGCATATTGCAAAGAATTAGCTAAGCCCGTCTTCTAGGAGATTCAACTAAACTTCAATTTCCTATCAAACTCCTAAAGTGGCACCTAAAATAGAGTTTTGCCTTTTAAAAAAAATGATTGAAGATGACGAGGATAGCTTCCTTCATCCAAGAGGGATTTTTAAAAATTGTCATCTTATTGTCCCTCACGTATTATGCATCTCTAAGCAATGAAAATTGTACCATAGCTCACCTTGAAATTTAGAAATAATAATAATCATCGTTTACCGAAAGCAAACCTAGCAACTTGTGAATCCAAATGATACTACTTATTATTCTCCTGCATCCATCGGCCAAAAGAGACTGCCGCTTACCTGATCCTCAAAGACGCATTAACTGACTTTGTTAACTATGTAATTTCAATGATCCCAGTGCTTTCAAAAGTGTTGACAATTTATCAATAAATCATGTCATCTTCTAAAAATCCAAACATCCATCTACAAGACATAAGAAATCATCCCACCAATGTTCTACCTGCAATTCCAGAGAATCCAGCCAATTATTGCAAATTCATCTTGTCCCTGTAGAAATCTTCAAAGGTCGGTAACCAGTAAGACACATTTTCTAATCCAAAGATCTATGAAGACACATTTAACCATATTTGTAGAGAAGGTAATATTATGGTTACCTAGCTTGCAAACAAAGGATGAAGATTGAAGGTTACAAGCGTTATTTTCCCTTTTATATTCATTTTGAATCATTTTAGTGAGCATTTCTTCCATCTTTATCAAATCATGATGAGTGGCGTAGTTGCGGTTCTCCATGTTCATTGAAGGCTTAGAATTTTAATGTTCTTCCAAATGCATCTATATTCTTGTCACTGACATCAATCTATTCTCATCGCACCTTTGAGGATGTTGGATCCAAATCAAACCATTGATGATACTTAACAAACTAGCAAGTAATTTCTAGGCGAGATTTAGGGAGTCGAGTTGTGTTTGAATGAACGTGGAGAGTAAGAGTCTTAGATTTATTGTAAGCAATACAAAAGCAAGAGAGACCACGAGATGTCAAGCGATGGAATGGACTCCAAAAGATTTAAATGTTTCAAAAGTATTTATCTTAACATTTTATTTATAAGACTTAAGGGCTACTTGATATGTTGTACATAAAAAAATGTAAGAAAATAGTACAAATTACAAAGTATGATGTGGCTTATTCTAGACTATCATAAACACATGACCTACTTGACAGACCTCCACGTAAGGTGAGTCCTTTGTGCAAGTCTTCATGAATGAGTGTCTCAAGTAAGTCCTCAAAGACTGAAATAAGAGAAATTCTATGAAGGCAGATCCTTTGATTGCGGTGACAAGTCCATTGAGACATAATTTAGACTCATGAATGCAAAAGAATGAGTTCTCTTAAATGAAGATACTCAAGAGCCGAAGATGACCTTAAACCTAAAAATTGTACTTGCGGCCTTTGAGATATGTGTTTCCTGTAGCTAGAACAATGATGTCAGCGATAGTTGAGTGGCATTGACGGTAAAAGATAATCATGGATGAACAATTCCTGTCAAGATGAGTGACATAATATGAGGCTCAGGTAAGTTTGGGCGAGTCCCTCTGAGAGGCTTGGCAAAGTTGATGACTTCTCAATCAAGACAACTTGGATGATTCTTCATATTACGATCTCGCTAGGAGAATGGCTATGAATCTATGAATTGGCAGCAATCAACTTGTGAGGTGGTCACTTTCCCTCGCCACGAATGCTCCTCCTAAGAGGTATAACTATTTGCACCGAATCTCAAGTAGAAGCTTGTTGAATAGCTGTGAAATACCTAAATATGCATGTACGAGTATACAAAATATATTTTATACTTTGAATATATTACCAAGATCTTATCCATTAGTAAAAGCTTTTAGATTAATGGTCTTATATCTATCAGTGTGTGTTGCTCAATCTGAGCCATCAATGTCATGTCCCTCATAAAGAGTGGCATCAATTCTAAGTGATTTTAGGCTCCCATGGATCTTGATTGATTTTATCATGACAGAGCAAAGTTCACTAGCAGGTGACTCTAGGTGTAAATATAGGAATTATATTTAGCGCAATAATAGAATCAAAGTTTATTTTCTTAAAGAAAATTCATTATTACAATAGTTGCAACCCGGAAAAAACATTAATGGCAAGTCATAAATCTTTCTGGAATCCTCTCTAAGATTATGACAATTATCTGAAACCATTACTTGGCCAACTCTAAACTTTAAACCCTAGTCAATGCAGTTCACCTACAAAAGCGCTACCCTTCCTGCACAACCGCAATTTATCCAACAAATCAACAGCTCATTACCTATTTTTACTATGATACAAACTTAAAGTATTTAAAAAAAAAAATCGTTACGACTAGGGTTAGAGGTAGAAACATACCTCGCGGGGCGGGGGCTGCGAGAAGGAGAGGTTGATCTTAGACTGAATCGCAAGGCGAACGTCATCGGGATCGATGTTATTCTTTCCAGCATGTTCGGCGTAGACCTGGGCGTCGGAAAGTATGTCGACGACGTACCGGTAACATAACTCTAGAAACTGATGCAACACTCGAGGCTCGTATTCCCCCTCCCCGACCCCCATCGACCTCAAAAGCTCCCGCACAACCCGCGCGTCTCGAGGCTCGTCGGCTTCCGTCTCTCTCCCGGCGACGCCAACGCCCGCGTCGTCCATCTTGACGCTGTCTTGTCCGCTCCTTTGTTCCTTCTTGGAACTCGGCATTTTAAGTTGTGCGGCGGTTCCTAATGAAATATTTTAATGAATGGTTATAATAATATCAAATAGCACAGAAACAAAACCGTCGCTTTGGCCGAGTGGTTAAGGCGTGTGCCTGCTAAGTACATGGGGTTTCCCCGCGAGAGTTCGAATCTCTCAGGCGACGCAAGCAGTATAAATAATTTTGCTTGTGTTCTTAAAGGAATTTTTTCTTTGAAATTACCTTCTTTGCCCTCGTCTTCCTAAGACGGAGAAGGTGATTTAGGTTTTAATTTGAACTATTAATTTTGTTTGAAATATTGATGGAATATATATAGTCAAGAAAAACAAAATAAAAGTATATTGGTTTTTTTGGTTCGACTGCTAAGGGAATTTTTGGGCCGGATCAAATTGGTTGGGAGAACCGGGCATAAAAGCGGCTGAATTATCGAAGATAAGTTTGTGTGGAGAATTCATTCAGTGCATATATTAAAGAGATCATCATTTTAATTAGGATAGAATTAGTTGTTTTTTTATTAGCGGTGTCAATTATTAACGTGAAAAAAAATTTAGGGATTGGGTTTACCTTTTTCATTTTTTGACCCGTTTGAAAAATTGGGTTAGGTCTAAATCAATTTGTGAATCCAAATTTGACTTGCCCCGCCTGACCTAATTAATCGCTTTACTCACCCTCGCACAAGTGCCTAGCCCCAGACGTATACTTGTGTCGTCATGCCACATCGCTCGCACCTGCACTGTCGTAGAGCAGCAAACTGAGCTCTCGCACAGTTCCACCCTCCCTCATAGTAGAGCACGCACTCGGACGGTCCAACGCTCCCTCACATTCACGCACTCACTAGCGCACTGGCACAATCTCCCTCCCTCACCCACAATCCTACACATGCTCGAGCTGAACGCTCACGGGATGAATCAGGTCAACCTGATCCCTAGGGCTCAGGTCCCAGTTGAAATTTCTAACATGTTTATCTAATCTTGTCGGAATAGGGCAAGATTAATGGAGAGTGAGTCAACTTCGAGTTTAACCTCTAAACTTTTATATTTACTAATATACCACCTAAAATCCTTTTTTCCTTCTATTCTACCACTCCATTGAAGTAATGATATACTTATATTCACTGTGAAAGGATGTCATTGACAAGGAAGACAGCCATTGATAGTGATTTTTGACGGAAGGTTTAAACGGAATGTTAGAATTGATTAAAATAGGGGTTTATGTGGTATATTAGTAAATATAAAAGTTTAGGTGTTAAATATGTATTTTTAATAGTTTTAAGTGTTATATATGTAAAACCCCCATATTTTTTATAGTGATGTTCATGAATGATGATGATATTTTAAATTTCTTAGCTGTAGTTATATTCCTTTATACATTTCTGATATTTGTTATTTTGAGCTTCAGAGCTTAAGGTACTCCTCAGCATGTCCTTTATTGTAGTTGTAGTCCTCACTACTATAGCAGCAGTCTTAATGGCAGTATATTTGATATTTTGCTTAAAGATGTCCGTTTTAGTTATGTTGGACGAAATTTTGCTCAGGGATAACATTAAGCCACTTCTAACCAGACTAATAATAATAATTAAGGCTTTATTTGAAACAATATTTTTATTATTTTCTTAAATAATATTTCAACACAAAAAATTTCTATTTCAATTTTTTTTAATTATAAAAACTTATTACTTTAAAAGACAATAAAAAAATTTATCACAAATGAGATTAATTATTCTGCCCGGACACCGGACATCATCCGAAAACGAATGAGAGCACGTCACTTCACTTTTTTGTTGTGGACCGGTGTTTTATACCGAGTGCCGTAACACTTATTTGCCTCCGAACAGTCCATTGTTCATATAGAATAATCTCCCCACAAATGAAGCCTAAAAAAATAAAAGAAAATGGAGAGATGTTTTGGGAATTCTCTTCATTAGAAAACCAGAACTTGATACAATGATTTCATCCATTTTTATACTTGGCCTTTGACCTCTTATTTATGGGCAAGAGCCTAAATATAGCCCTATAAAAAATATAATTACGAGAATTAAATAAATTATATTATGTGGCCTAATGAAGATTTTTAAATAAAAAATTTTTAAACTAAAAATTACTCTAAAAAATAATAAGAAAACTATCCGAAATAAAGCCTAAAACACAAAAATGTTAAATTTAGGACTAACTGTGTATACATACATACATATATACATAATTGAAGCAAGCCAAGTGAGCCAGTTTATAATAGATCCATTTGAGATTGCAAGTCTCATCCACTTGAGCATCCTCATCTCCACAACACTTAATATAATGCTTCTCTTTTGATGACCAATATTCTTCACCATAAAGCATTGCAAGTCTCATCACCATCTTATAGAATTTTTCCCTCAAGTTTGAGTGGGACTTCTCTATCACACAACAAGCCTGATGCATTCCTCCACTTCAACCATCCAACTTAAATTCTGCTAATAATATCCCCATCTATTTAACCATCACTCTCAACAATAGACCCAAGATATCTAAAATGTATACTCTTCTCAATGACTTGATTGCCCAAATTCACAAACCCTCCACTAAATTTATTACAATTAAAATTACATTTCATATATTCATTTTTATATCTACTCAAACGAAAACCTTTTAGACTCCAAAGTTGACCTACATAATTAAAGTTACCTTGAACTCCCTCTCTAGTTTTATCAACAAGTCAGTAAAAAGTATACACCAGCATACAACCTCTAGCAAATGTCTAGTTGGAACATTCATGACTAAAGCAAAAAAATATGGGCTTAAGGCTGATCCAATCATTGATGTAATCCAACATAAATAGGAAAAAAATTTGGTCAACCCATCTTGTGTTTGAACACAAGTAATAGGACCCGCATACATATCCCTAATGACTTGAATATAAGCATCATTAACTTCTTTTTTTTCTAGAACATTCCATAGCACCTCTCTTGGAACTTTATCATATGTTTTCTCAAAATCAATAAATATCATATGAAGATTCTCCTTATTCTCTCTATGTTTCTCCATCAAACCTCTCAATAAATGTATAGCTTCCATAGTAGACCGACCCAACATGAATCCAATTTGATTTTGAGAAACATTAGTATCACGTTGTAACATATGCTCCATAACTCTCTCGCAAAATTTTGCAGTATGACACATTAACTTAATTCATCTATAATTCGCACAATCTTGTGCATCACCTTTATTCTTAGAAATAGTAATCAACGCACTCATTCTCCACTCATCTGACATCTTTTTAGTCTTCAAAATAATATTAAAAAGTTTAATAAGCCCAGAAATTCATGCATCTCCTAAGCATACCCACATCTCTATTGAAATATCATCAGTTCCAACAATTTTTCCACACTTCATTTTCTTTAAAGCCTCTTAAACTTCTGTTTTACTAATATGCCGATAAAAATAAAAATCTTTATTATTATTTAGGATGTTAAGGACACTAAAGTTAATTGTATTCTCACAATCTTCTTTAAAAAATTTAGCAAAATATCTCATCTATCTTTGTTGAATTTCTTCAAATAAAAATACTTTTTGATTTTCATCCTTAATGCACTTCACTTGCACAAGATCCTACTTCTGACAATTGCACTTATTTATGCAAGTAGCTATAAACATATAAAGAAATATATACCATAATATTAAAGAGATATTTCTTTTAAGAGTCCCATGATGGTTGGGGATGATTTCAATATCATTCTACATGATTATGAGAAATTAAGTGAAAGTCCCCATAACCATGGTTCTATGAAAGAATTTCAAGTACTACAACAACAACAACAAGCCTTTGTTTCATTATGTGGGGTTGGCTATATGAATCATTTTTCTCCATTGTGTCATGTTAAAAGTCAAATTCTCGTTTAAATCTAACAAAGAAAGATAATTTCTAATATTTTTTAACCAAGTCTTTTTAGGTCTACCTCTACCATTCTTAATATAAGTCAAATTTAATACCTCTACTTAATTAGTATCCCTAGTCAATTACAAGTTTAACCATATTAGTAGAGAAGGCAATATTATTGTTACCAAGGTCGCAAACAAAGGATGCAGATTGAAGGTCAAAAGGTTTATTTTTCCATTTTGATACTCATTTTGAATCATTTTAGTGATTCTTTCGTCCATCTCTATCAAATCATGATGAGTGATGTAGGTGAGGTTCTCCATGTTCATTGATGGCTCAGAATTTTAATGTTCTTCCAAATGCATCTATATTCTTATCACTGACAATAATCCATTATCATCGCACTTTTTAGGATGTTGGATCCGAATTAGTTCATTAATGATACTTCACAAACTAGCAGGTAATTTCTAGGTGAGATCTAGGAAACAGAGTGGGGTTTGAGTGAACATGGAGAGTAAGAGTCTTAAATTTATTGTAAGCAATACAAAAGTAAGAGAGACCACGAGATGTAAATATATAAAATTGACTCCAAAAGATTTAAATGTTCCAAAAGATCCGAAGTATGTATCTTCACATTTTATGTATAGAAGGCTTAAAGGGATACTTGAAATGTTGTAATATATATATATTGTATAAAGTAAAATGTATGATGTGGCTTATTACAGGTTATCATAAACACAAGACCTACAAGATAGACCTCCACATGAGGCAAGCCCTTTGTGCAAGTCTTTATTGATGAGAGTCTCAAGTAAGCTCTCAAAGCCCAACATAAGGGCAAGTCTGTGGAGGCGGGGTCCTCTGAGTGCAATGGCAAGTCCATTGAGACATAATTTAGACTCGTGAATGCAAAACGGTGACTTATCTTAGATGAAAATACTCAAGATTTGAAGACTACCTTAACCCTAAAAATTGTACTTGCGGACTTTGAGATATGTGTTTCCTATAGCTAGACCAAGGATGTCAGCGGTAGCTTAGTGACCTTGACGGTAAAGGATAATCGTAGATGAATAATCCCTATCAGGATGAGTGACATATGAGGCTCAGGTACGTTTGGACGAGTCCCTCTGAGAGGCTTGGAAAAGACGATGACATCTTGTGTAAAATCCTT